TAGAGCACGCGTCGTCGGACTATAACAAATAGGACGAGGACCTCAGTGCGTGCTCGGATACGATGCAAGACTTGTATTTATGCATACCTATAACAAATAGGACGAGGACTACAATGTACGTGAGTATGTGTAAACGAGAACAGAACAAGCTAAGTACTCACCCTCAGTGCGTGCTCGGATACGATGCAAGACTGAGGGTGCGGTCGCAAATGCGAGCGTATAAGACGGCGAGCAGAAACGACAGGCACAAGGTACGTGACAGGTACTATCGGTGCGCACTGATGCTGCGCATGCATGCGCATGGCGGGATGAGTGCCAAGAAGGGGCAGCGCATCAGCGCGTAAATAGCGTAAGGTAAAACAGGGCGATACGGAACGGTATAGTAGCCGGAGAGCCGGCGCGAGAGCGTACGTATGGATTATCTGCTCCAACACTCCCCCATAATCCTACAGGAGCCCGAGCGCAGCAGCGAAGTGCTTTACCTTCGTGCTGGGAAGGGCCTTGGTGAGCGCGTCGGCCACCATCTGGTCCGTAGGGCAGTAGACAAGCTTCATCTTCTTGTCCTGTATGATCCACCGAATGAAATGGAACCGTATGTCGATGTGCTTCGTGCGCGCGTGGTACTGGTGGTCCTGGGTAAGCGAAATGGCGCCAAGATTGTCAGAGTTGAGCAGGATGGGTTCTGTGAAAGGAGCGAAGACCTGGCCGATGAGTGAGCGCAACCAGAGTGCCTCCTTGGATGCGTGTGTGATGGCGACGTATTCGGATTCGGTCGTAGAAAGCGAGATGATCTCCTGGCGTTTGGACGCCCAAGAGACTGCACCACCGTCAATTAGGAATGCGTACCCGGAGATCGCTTTGCGGTCCTCATGCATTGATCCATCGGCATCAGTGTAGCCAACGAGGTCGAGCGAGACTGCGCCATAGGTGAGTCGCAATGTCTTCGTCCCGGCAAGGTAACGAAAAACGCGTTTGACGGCTTCCCAGTGCGCGCGTCCGGGGTTCTTCGAGAAACGGGCGAGAACCGACACAGCGTAAGTGATATCAGGACGGGTGCCGAGGGAAGCATACATGAGAGACCCCACAGCCTCCCGGTACGGGACGTTGCGCATCTCAGCAGCTTCGACAGCCGTCTGCGGCGACTGTGCGGTGGACAATTGGACGTGCGGGTCCATTGGCGAGAACACAGGCCGCGCATCTTCGAGGTTGTACCGCCGAAGGATCGACTCGATGTATGCGACCTGCGAGAGCGACAGGGTGTGGGCCTCGCGATCACGCTCAACAGCGAAGCCCAAGATCCAATGGATCTCGCCCTCATCGGTGATTTCGAAGTCCTTTTGCAGGCTGGTTTTGACCTCATCCATAAGGCCTGCAGATGCGACAATTGTGAGGTCATCGACATGTACGCCCATCGCGATGAGCTTGCCGCGCTCCGAGCGGTAGAAGACGGCCTGGTCGACGTCGACCACGGACATGCGCAGGCGGCTCTGCAAGACGCTGCGGAGCTTCTTATGCCAGTTACGTGCGCTCTGACGGAGACCGTACAGGGGACGCAACAGGCGCAGCGCGAGGGACTTGTCATGGGTGAGTGTCACACCCGGTGGCATGGCCATGTAGATAACCTCGTCCTCCTCGAACTCACCATTCAGGTATGCGCTCTTGATGTCGACCTGGTGGACATCAAGATTGTGGCGCGCTGCGAATGCAAGCAGGGTGCGGATGGACGCCATCTTGGCCACGGGAGCGTAGGTGTCGAAGAAATCGACTCCTGGCACCTGTGAGAATCCACGGGCGACAAGGCGCGCACGGTATCAGTTCACGTTCCCGGCCGCATCCTTCTTCGCGTGAAAAACCCACCGGCAGCTGACTATATTCGCATCGGGTGGAGGCCGTTCGAGACGCCACGTGCTGTGCGCTTCGAGTGCGCGCAGCTCTTCCTGCATTGCCTCTTGCCAGCGCAACCATTCGGGCCGGCGCTTTGCTTCTGCCAGCGACTGCGGGTCCAAACCCTCAACTTCAGCAATCTGCGCGGCCATGGCAGCACCCAAGACCTCCTCAAACAGCTCGGCAGCGGGCTCTACCGGGGTCTGCACACCACGTGGTACGCTGCTATCCGCGCCCTTGCCAGCGAGGATGTCACTGACCTTCTGCGATGGTTTCCGGATGCGCATTGGCCGCGGCGCTGGCGGCGGTTCCAGGACTTCGGGCTTAGGAGAGGCGGGCAGCGTGGATGGCTCATTAATGGCAGTCTCCTCAGTAGAGTCGGCAGTGGATGTGGGCTTGTCATTGCCCGGCACCTGCTCCCCCTCAAGCTCGACACCATCGTTGACAACAACGGGCAACGAGAGCTCGCCAAAGCGAACGTTCCGCTCCACGGTGACTTGGTGAGTTGTATCCCAGTAAACACGATGGCCCTTGCTTTGACCATCATACCCGACCCAGCGCGCGGCCAGGGCCCGCACACCGACCTTCCCAGTTGAGGTGTCATGCACCCAGACACAGCACCCCCAGACAGGCAGGCCGAGCAATGTAGGCGGACGGCCGTTTATGGCCTCGAATGGTGTCCTACCATCGAGCGCTTTGGTGGACGTGCGGTTTTTCAACCAGACGGCGTGCAGGACGGCCTCGCCCCACAGGTACGCAGGCAGCCCAGACGTGAGCAACAGCGCCCGGGTCTTCTCCATCAACGTGTGGTTGAGACGCTCCGAGACACCGGCCTCCTCGTGGGTATCGTGGACTGACAGCTTCTGCGCGATGCCACGGGCCTCAAGATGAGTCTTAAACTCCTCACTGAGGTACTCGCCCCCACGATTGGTGTTCAAAAACTTCAACCGCTTGCCATGGTGAATCTCCAGCCACGCTTCAAAGGCTTCGCTCTTTACACGCAGCAGGTAGAGCATCGTCCAGCGTGTGGCGTCATCCGTAAAGGTAATGTAATGCTTCCGACCACCCAGTGTGGCGACTCGCGCAGGGCCCCACAGGTCAGAGTGAACCTCGTCACCAAGCTCCTCCGCACGCTCACCCTCGCGCACAGCAGGAACTGGCTTCCGCGTCGACTTAGCGCGAATGCACACCTCGCACATCTCCAGCTCGGAGGACGGCAGAAGGGCAATACCAGTGATGTGCCTGTCACGACTTGGTACGGCGTCTAGCCGTTTTTTAATTTTTTCCTTTTCGCGGGCTCGAACCCGCGACCTCTGTACTACCTGCCTGATATGGACACGTCGTTATTGTC